AATGTTTTAAATTGTATAAATGTTTATAATTTAATCTTGTACATATATAGTAATTATAATTATAATTTCGTTTATATAAACCTTGATGTAATTAATTCTAAGATTATTTAGAATTTCGAAATAACTATTTATGGAAATATTTAAATTATTTAAATGTATTTAGTAATTAAAGTTAAAACTAATCAAAATAACATTTGAAAACTAATGTGTTTTGTAATATGAATATAAGAACTAAATAAATAGAAAATGAATATTAATTAGTTGTATTAACAAATGACTAAACTACCATTAATAAAATTCTAAGGAAAAAGTTATAATGCAATGGCATTTCATGTAATATAACACATAAAATGTGTTTAAACGTTGAAGTGTTTCTCTTTTAATAGTATGGATTGAAAGATAACAGACCATAAGGTACTGTTTTTTATTCCTCTCTTTTATTTACAGTTTTCAGCCGATAAAATAGCGTTTAAATGCATGTATATGTTAATTTATTTCCAGCTCTGTTGATAATGCAAAATATTGATTTTTGTGTGCTTTGGATTCAAACCACAATTAGAATGTAAGGTTAATCTTTATATCGAATTATCTAAAAGCTGAATTCAAATAGATTATAGACCGAAAACCTGTAACTTCAACATTTTCTAAAATTATAATAATCATCATAATTTGGCCAATGAATCTCTTGTATAGTACTAATAGTATACACTATATATATATATTATTTTATAACAAAACATTAATAAATTGGCAAAAAAATAAAAGAAAGTTAGAAACAAATAATTTTTTGATATGATTGCAGATGAATACATATAGCATGGCGTGACATTATGCTACAGGCTAAAAGAATCATCGAAAATGTTGGATTACTTATGATTTGATCTATCTAACCTTGCATATCTTGAGGGCCGCGCAAAAAAAAAACAAGGAACATTAGAGAAGACTGTAAAGAGTTTTTTTATAGATTCTCTTGTATATCTGAAAAACAAAAAATGAGAAAATTTTCAGAAACTTTAGAACTAACTATCTATATAGTCGAAGCCTGAAAAGTTGCTCATGTAATAATAACAAGGGAGGAGGTAAAGGTTGAGCTAGTCCCACCAAACTTACAACATGGGGTGGAAGACATCCTCTACCTTCCCGCGCTGTCAAGTGGACACTTCCTAGGTAAGGGGAGGTGCGACGTCAGGGAGTGGTCTTATCTTAGAGCTAGGAGACGGAAGCCAAATATTTGGACTGTTCACCCAAGACAACAGCCAATCACCACTGCATAAAGAGCTGGAAGCCTTGTTATGGGCTATGAAGGCTGTCTCTTCTCTTCAACTCACATCTCTACATTTTTAAACGAACTGCTTATAAATGGTTTGATTGATCGAAGAGGAAGAAGAGTGCCAGTTTTAATAATGGAATTAGAAGATTACTTTCAACAGTTTTCTATTGATTTTATTTCTAGATTACATAATGTCTGTACTAACTAATTACATAATGTATGTACTAACTATCTCGCTACAAATGCTCAAGCATGTGGCTACAGATTTTCCCTTGTTCATGAACTTGTCCCAAAATTATTGGGTTTAAAACCAAGTTTTTTTTAAACCTAAAAATGAATACATGGTGACTTTAAGAAAACAGAAAAATCAACAGTAGAAACGAATTACAAACATATTATCTTTTGTTATATTTGACCTCGTCAGATATGAAACACAATTATCCAGATTCAAATGCAACTATGTGAATTCGATCGGTTCAGATGGTATCGTAGGTATTTAGAATTTAGATATCATGATATCTAAATATTTGTAGATATTCAATCTGGATATGTAAAAATAAAACTAACTTTTAATTTAAAATAATATATCTACAGTTAAAAGTCTTCCATAATTTAATTTCACCACATCGCTTATAAATAAATACTAGATTTTAGATCTGTCGCAGGTTTCTTTTCATGAAATATTTTTGGACCATAGCAAAAATTGGTTTATATTAAACTTTTGTTCAAAAACAAATTAAATTATATTATTAAATCTAAAATTGTGTCCCAAACTGATTTTTTTTTATTTGATTATATATATACTATTTTTACTTTTTTTGTTTTACGTTCTTAAAATTATTTAGGTTTGATTTTATAAAAAAAAAGTATTTTAACTGGCAGATTTTTGTTAAGTTTTATAACAAATATTTTAAAATATTATGTTTTGTAATACAAGAGAGATTTCATTTGTTTGTAATTAAGATTTCAATATTTACTTACGCTTTGTTTGTTTTTGCATCCCAATACTTATTTGGATACAAATGCTCAAATATAGTTTTAAAAATATTTTTAAATCAGTATATAGATGTTGTATTTGGATACAAAATCTATAATATCTCAAAATTCGTATATCTAAGATACTAAAAAAATTGAGTTTGAATGCAGCATTTGAATTTCAAAAATTAAAAGACTAAAACACCATTTAATTTAAACCACAAAATCAAGTTTTTTTTATCAAAACCATAAAATCAGAGTTTTCTAATCAAAATAAAAAACCGCATTTTCCTGCAAAATCGTAAAATCACGTTGTTGTACGAAAATTTGGAATTCTCGTAGAAACTGTAAAAATAGTATTTTCCATCAAACCATATTTTACTGCAAAAACTGTAAACCCATATATTTTAGCAAAACAAAAAATTATGTTTCTCCCTAACACCATAAAACCGTATTCTATGACCAAATCTCTAAAATTACGTGTTTTGTTAAACCTGTAAAATTGCGTTTCTCGTCAGACCCGCAAACCTGCATTTTCAATAAAATCCATAAAACCACATCTTTTCATCAAAATATAAAACCCGCCAAAATATGTAAACCTCGCAAAATCACGTTTTTCGTCAAATCCACAAACTCGTGTTTTTTCTGTAAAATTGTAAAATCCGTAAAATAGTGTTTTACTACCAAATTTTTAAACTCATGTGTTTCTGTCAAACCTGCAAAATCGAGTTTCCAAACGCACAATTCCGCATTTTCCGATATGACTACATATTCCCGCTAAAATCTGTAAAATCTATAAAATTCGTAAAACTGCGTTATTTGCATTCTGCAAACCCGTGTTTTCTTGTAATTCTTCTAAATCTGCAAAATCGTGATTTACGACTAAATTTCTAAAATCATGTGTTTCTGCTAAATCTACAAAAGCACATTTTTTGTCAAACTAGCATTTTTCATAAAAAAATATATTTTCAACTAAAACTTGTAAAATCCGCTAAAACTTGTAAAACTCATAAAATCTACAAAATTATATTTGTCAAATCCGCAAACCCATGATTTCCCGCAAAAAAATCATTAACAAACCATATGTAACCAGAAAATATTGATTACATATTCATTATTGAATATGAATTGTCACATTTTGTAAATATCATAGTAGCTTTTAGATATTTTAAAGTAGTAATTTTATTTTAATTGTATAGAGAAAAAATTGATTATAATATAATATGTATAATTATATTAATTATTCATGATATATATATGTGATAATTATGTTAAGATATTACGAAAGATTTTAAAATAATTTCGAAATTAAATTAATTTAAATTTTATTAGTATTAGATATAATTTATTAGTATTATCTGTTAACAAACTAATATAATTTAATTTAATTTAATGTATTTGTTAACAATTTAATGATAAGATAAAATTTCATTTAATGAAATGATTAAATTTTCTAACGAATCAAATGGCACATTAAGTAAATATCATGGTAGTTTTTGGATATTTCAAATTAATGATTCTCTTTTAATAGTATAGATAGATACATAATAAATCTACATCAAAACAATTATCATTTGAATATCCAAAATTTTGAAATATGTATCAAATTATATAAATCTTGTATATTTTGAAATATGTATCAAACTATATAAATCTTGTATAAAAGAATAAAGAGAATAGTATAATTTACAAGACTTTTTTTTTAATTTTGATTTTTTTCAGTAGAAATATTAGTAGTATAAAAGAGAGCGGATAAAGTGTATAGGGTCGGAATAAAGAAGGTGATGATGAATGTATTATTTATTGCGTAATGTTAGTTTTGGACCCGGCAAAATTAATACAGGCTTCTTTAACCGATTAAATTAGCTGTGTTTTTTTTTTTTTGAAAGATTAAATTAGCTGTATATAAGTTTTTTCTTCTCTGCCATTTGCCATACGTCCTTGTTTCTGATCCATAAAAACGTTAATAAAGTCTATTGATAAAATCAACTTCATGGAATGGGAATTTAATTTCTGAAAACTACAAAATGAAGTTAAATCACAATAAACTTGGGAAAAAAGCAAAAAAAAACAAGTACACACTAGACGAACAGATTTCTCTATACCAATAAATGCAAGTCTGCAAAATTGACATCGATTTTCACAACTGAGTGATTTTCACAACGCATGCAATTATCAAACCTTAACTTTTGTTTTTTTTTTCTTATGGAGGAACAGATTAAGCAAAACCACTACTCACAAAGTTCGAAAAAAACCATTCCTCACGTTCTGACGATTATTACGTTACGGACAGAAAACGATTAGTTTTGGAATATGATAAAAAAAATGTCGTTTCGTATAAAACGAAACGTCATTTCCAATGGTCTCAAATTCCGATTAATACTGTAAGAAATTAACATTAGTATAAAAAATTAGTTAGAAAGACAAATGTTTATATTTTTGCGTAGCGGAGTTGTTGAAGAGAATCACTACCACATAATAAACCACGAACAAAAGTTGCACTGATCGTGTCGAAGGATACCTTTTTGGCTTTTTCCAAACAAGTAATACTAATATTCATTTTAAATAATCGAATACTTTTTAAACTGAAAATCAAATTAAATATTAGAATTATAACCACTCTATGCATATATGATCAAAATTGTATATACTTCACTAGCTTGACTATTCTTTAGTCCCCTCATCCCCTGAACTACAGCCTTCATTATTGGCTCATATAGGCCCATACCATTTCTGTAAATCATTTTTTCTAAAAATAAAGCGTGGGTTTTCGCATATAATATATTGCAGATCAGAAAACATCACTAACTCTCTTGTTCTTTAAAGGGTAATTAATATATTTATTTTGGCTAAAGAGAGTTCTTTAAAAGTTTTTGTCTGAAGCAACAATGGAAGAGAAGAAACTGAATGTAGATGCTCCATTCCTATCCGTGAGGCGAGTTCCTTCAACTAATATAGAGAATTCAAGCGAAGCAGCGAACACCAAGAAGATGGCGACGACGACGAGGAGAAGGAGAAAAGTCAAAGATTCGTGTCAAGAAACAGAGCGTGAAACTCTGGTTCGGTTATTACAAGATGACCAGAGCTTCGATCATGTAATGAAACCCTCTTTAGTTCCATTTCTATGGGAACAAATACCTGGAAAGCCAAAGAATCATCATCATCACATGGCTACTACATTAATCGGAGAATCAGATCTAATCAAAGCTTTGGATATGGTTTCTTCAACAGCAAGTTTCTCTGTTAATTGTAGTACCAATGGAGCAAGCGATGAGCTGGAGAAGGATGAAGACAGGTCGAGTAATGTATCAAGAGATGACGTCGTTCTTGAGTATCGTGATCTCATCATGTCGAGATTTTTGCCAGCAGCGACAGCAATTGCCTTGAGACAGAAGAAAGAATCTTCTTTGGAAGAGAAGATGAAGAAGAAAAATAAGAAACGCATCATTACTCTACAGAGAGTCTCCATGGCCATAAATCAAGATTTACAAAATGATGATTATGATCATAATCATGTTGATGAAACATTTTACTCAAATGATTCCAAGAAAGCTATGTCTGGGTTCTTGCCACGGTTCTGTTCCAAGAACTCATTGGATGTTCTTACACCTGTTCTTTCTCGGGTCAAGACTTGTCAGAATCTTGCGGTAAAACCTGGCAAAATCGTAAACCTGAAATCTCAAGATTCTGTTCATAAAACCAAACCAGCGTCACCAAGAATCTTGAGATCAAACAAGGTTATCAGCAAGTCTCAAGAACTCTATCCAGTACCGAGATTTTCAACGGAGCTTTCCAAAATTTCTCAATCGAAATCCAGGGAAAAGGCCCGGATCCTGAGAAATCCGTCGAGGTTGCAACGAACAACGAGCGAACAAACTAACCGACAAGAGACGAGGTTTCTTGTCGAGGAAGTAAAGAGAAGGAGCAACAGAAAAAAAACCAGGTCAGAGAATCTCTCTGTTTATCAACCTCCATTGCCTAAAACTCCTTCAGAATCGTGGCTTTGCCGGACACTTCCCAGAAGCTCGGCCACTTCTATCGTCTCCGGTCAGTTTGCCGTCGTCGTCTCCGGTCAAACCGCTGGTTTCAAGAAGATGGAGCAAAAGACTAGTTCTCAGTCTACAAAATGGGAGACGATTGTGAAAACATCGCATCAACACCATAACCATGCACGCTACTCAGAGGTATGTTTGGTCTTGTTGAATTAATCTTTTATATTCGTATTTTACTATTTTTATATAATCGGTTTTGATTATTTTGTGGTTTTCTTGGATTATGTACAAATATGCAGGAGCCTATTGTTGTTCATCCCTCTCGTCAACACAAACCCTAAACCGGAAATTTCTTTTCTACAGACCGAGATTCTTTTTCCGGTACAGTAAAAAATTATTGCTATTATTTAAGTTTTCCCATCTGTCATTATTACGATTGTGGTACATGTGTGTTTGGAATTTGTACAAGAGATTGATGATGTCGGACCGAATTGGGTTAGGCTTAAAGCAACCACATTCTTTTCACCATCATCAATATCAGCATGTAAGGAAACTGTATTGATTCAAACATTTGGAATGGATTTTCTTTAAATGAAAAATTTCGTGATACTCAGTTAAAAAATTTAAGTATTTTTTCTAAATCTGATGTTATTGAACTAAAATATTTTCAAATGCCTTTTAAATCCTAGGTTTATCCAACTAGTGATTTACGAAAGCTCCAAAAGCTTATGTTATTAATCTTTTTTAGATACTGATTTTCTTCTTCTTTTTTTGGCTTAAAGACACAATTAGTTTTGGGAACTTGATTATGTCTCTTTGGCAAAGAGTTTCTTGCTTGTTTGTGATGTAAGCCTCTTTTAAGATTAATCCAAGATGATTTGCACACACAAAAAAGACTCCTCTAATTTTAAAAGGCATTATGGACAACGAAAATTAAACTCCTATTTTTCTAAAATCACTAAAATCATATAAAGTTCATAGATACTCGAATGATTTCAAATCAACATAACAATTACACTCATGTCTCTCCATAGTTTGACACATCAGCTTTTTGAAGCTTTATAAACATGACACTTTAGCAAAAATATTTACCAATCAAAACATTTTATTAATACAATTCATCTACTTATTTTAAATTTTAAACAAACCCATTAAAAACCCAAATACTTTTTCTAATTAATCTTTGTTTTATTTTTTACCAAACACAAGTGCAAATAATTAATAACAGCAAATTAAAAAAAATATATTTTATTTTTTACCAAATTCAAACTCAAATAATAAATAACAACAAAAAAATAAATCTTTGTTTTATTTTTTGTCAAACCCAAACCCATATAATAAATAACAACAAATAAATAATAATAAAAAAATTTCTAGCTATCTGTTTGTTTGACAGAAACAAATATGATTCAAAAAGTGTAGACTCAGCATTAACTATGCTTCGACGAGAATTTTTTTTTTTTTTTGGCTTTGGCAGGAATAGGAATTTTCTCTGTTTTGCTGGGAATAAGGGATTTCTTGATTTCGGTAGGAAAATGTGATTTTTATTTTTGGTAGCAAAACATAATTTCTCGATTATGGCAGAAAAAGCCAATTCTCGGGTTTGGCGGGAAAATGTTAATTTTTGGTTTTGGTGAGAAAACAAAAAAAAGATTGATTTTGACGAGAAAACAAAATATCTTAGTTTTGACTGAAAAAATATGATTTTTCGGTTTTGATTGCAACTTTTCATTTTTGAAAAAAATACGATTTCTCAGTTTCGTTAGGAAATGCAAATTTTTGACTTTTGACGGATAATGCTATTTTTTGGTTTTCACGCAAAAAGAGATTTATTAGTTTTCACGGAAAATTGCAATTTGATAATTTGGAGGGAAATACAATTTCTCGGTTTGATGGGAAAACAACATTTCTCGGTTTTGGCGGGAATAAGCAATTTCTCAGTTAAGATGGCAAATGCAAATTTTCAGTTTTTGAAGAATAATGTGATTTTTTGGTTTTCGCGGGAAAATACAATTTCTCGAGAGTTAAAGCAATTTTTGGTTTTCGCAGAAAATTGTATTTTATCTGTTTTGGTAGGAAAACGTGATTCTTGGTTTGACGAGAAAATGAATTTTTTGGTTTTGACGGAAATAGATGATTTCTCGGTTTTTGCAGGAAAATAATTTTTTGGTTTTTATGGGAAAATACGATTTTTTTGTTTTTGCAGGAAGATAATTTTTTTGGTTTTAGTGAAAAAACGTGATTTCTCGGTTTTGGCAAAAAACACACAAGTTTTCACAAGAAAATGAAATTTTAGGTTTTGGCGAGAATATGCGATTTCTTAGTTTCATGAAAAAATAATTTTTTTTTGTTTGGCAGGAAATGTGATTTTTCGGTTTTTGTAAGAAGATGAAATTTCTCTATGCTAAATTTCCAAGTAAAAGTATGTTTACAATAACCAAAATTTAATTATTTAATTTTAACTAAATCAATATTTCAACACTTCAAACAGAAGTTTCTATTTAGTTCTAAACCAATAACAATAGTTTTGATATGAATATTTTTGATTATAATTTAGTAGTTTTAGAAATATATGTTTATAATAAATATTTTATAAATAAATAAATTTTATAATTCCTGATAATCATATTAATTAATAAATATTTTTTTTAAATGACATTTTGCTTTATATAATTACAAAAGAGGATCAAGTGGCAATTTATTGGAGAAAATAGATTATATTTGCCATTAGCATAAAGGTACTAAAAGTATATTGTTTTATTCTTACATATACATTAATAATTAGTTAGCTAAATAAATTTAATAGCAAATTATAATTTTAAAAAATTAAAAATTAAAAATATAATGTTTATTCAGATTTAAAACATATAAATACATAACTTAAACTAATAAAAATATATATAATATTTATTTATATTATAAAACTAATTTTGTTATATTAAAAATATATACAAAATTTATAAAAATATCCGCTGCGTAACGCGTTGTTTGATAATGGTTGGGACATGCAGTATTGCCGATCGACATTTGTGAAATCATGACTTTTATGTTTCATTGGGTTAGAAAGTATGAATAATTTGGGCCTCTATTGAGGTTTAGGTCCAACTAAGAGTACATCAAATCAAATTCTTGTTATAGTTCTTAATTAAGCCCAATAACAACCAGCAATTTTCAACTTTTCATCATGGAAACAAAATCTAATCTTATAGATGAAGCATCAAAATTTCAAAATCACTTGGCTATTCCGATTAATAACCTCAATATTTAATTTTGAAATAAAAACAGTAAACTAATAGTACTATACCAAGCAAATAGTTAAGGTTGACTTGGATTTTTATTTTTTATTTTTCTTTGGTCATAGACTTGAAATATATAAAATTAAAAATTAATCAAAAGAAAGTAGTGGGTGGCATGTACCGTCTAAGACTAGGACTCTAGGAGTATCACACGAGTTAAATGACTTAAATCCATGTAACTAAGCTCCTTATACACGCCACGTCACTAAAGTCGAACCGTTGATGACCACATTAAGGTAAAATCCAACGGTGCTTATGTATTGACTTTGTGCATCCTATGACCGGCTGGCACGTAGCCTAAGTCAACTCAAACTTCGATTTTAATTTAAAATGAAATACTTTACAAAATAGTCGAGACGGAAAAATTTTAAGATAGTAGGACCCATCACATGCATCTTAATTAATTTTACTAATCTTTCCCGCCATATATATATATAATGTCCGATATGTTATTCATCAACGGGATGAATTAAAAAGACCGCAAACGAATTAATTTCTCGTTTGTTTTTACTATAAATTGAAAACATCAACTATGATTTCATGAAATAAGTGATGTTTTTTTCCCCAATGCATATACACATTTCTATAATTATGGAAAACCTAAAGCAAGTTAATAGGGTCTTACTCTCATTGATTGGGAATTTCAAAAAATTAATAAAAACAGAGACAGTTTTTATGGGGGAAAATTGTTAAAAAAGAATAAAAAATAGGAAAAAAGATTCGCAAAGAGAGAGAAGAAGAAAAAGGAAAGAGGGAGGAAGGAGAGAGAACCCACCACCCTTTGGCCCTGGAGAGACCAAAGATGGTCGAAGAGAGAAAACTCTGAGATCATCATCATCATCATCCTGCAAAAATAAGGGCAAGTTCAAGAAGATCCCAGAAAATATAAATTCAATATTCGTTAAATAAATAATCATTTTCGCTTTCTGGGGATTTTTTTTTTTTTTTTTTTAGTTTTTGATTTCTCAAACCCTACCCAATTCTTGGTTAAGAAGTTTCTTCTCTAAGGTAATTTTTTCCTGGTAATTAATTTGGAATGTTTTACATTTGTGGGGGAAATCATTGAATTTTTTTTTTGTGGGTTCCATATTTTCTTCACATTGCTTCTTCAAGAGGGTTATTCTTATTCTTTTTTTTTTTAATTATTGTTTTATATCTTTTGCTAATGTTTGGATTTTTTCTTTTTGTTTGTTTCGTGTTGGCTTGTTTCCAGGTATTAAAAAGATCAACGAGAAGAAGAGACGTAACGAGTTGTTGACTCTTAGGAAATGAATTTCCTATTATGATTAGGGTTTTGTGCAATTAATTTTGCAAACAATGAGAGACCCTGATCATTCAATCATCAACCTCGTCCTTCTCTTCTTGCCGAGGATTCTGTAAAGTTTGGAATTTTTTTATTTGTTCATTAGGAAAAGAAAATAAAAAATTGGCGATTTTTTTATAGCATTGGTGTATACCTAAAATGGGTTGTCGATGGAATCCAATTGGATTTCAATTCTCTTGCTTCATGTTCTTGATCATCACCCTTCAATCTCGCTCCTCATTATCCCTCGATTCAGAAGGTAATAATAACATTTCTCAAATCTTTCTACAATGTTGTCTTCTTTTTAAAAATTATTTTTGATTGAAAGGGTTTTTGAATGCTGTAGGATTTGTATTGTTGAAATTCCGGGCAAGAGTTGATTCTGATCCTCATGGAACTCTTGTAAATTGGAATGTTTCTGATGATCATTTGTGTTCTTGGTTTGGTGTAACGTGTGTCGACAATAAAGTCCAGATGCTGTAAGTTCCCTTTCAAAAAAATTAATGTCTTTAGTTATTCTTGTTGCAATTTCTGATGATTTTTTTGTAGGAATCTTACTGGCTGTTCTTTGGGAGGAACTTTAGCTCCCGAGCTTAGTCAATTGAGTGAATTAAGATCTCTGTAAGAGTTTTAAATTATACTTATCTTTTTCCTCTGTTTCTTGAAATAATAAAAACTTAAAAAACCAATTCTTGTTTTTTCTTTTGTAGAATACTATCCAAGAACAATCTCTATGGTGATATTCCAAAGGAATTTGGGACTTTTCCGAAATTAGAGTTGTTGGATTTACAAGATAATAAGTTAAGCGGAATAGTTCCTCCTGAGCTAAACAAAGTGTTGTCACCAGAGAACTTGTGAGTTAATAAAAGTCTTGTGATTCTTTTTTGAGCTAAACCAAATCAATGTGTTTACATTTAACAAATTTGGTGGATTCAGGTTGCTTTCTGGTAACAAATTTGCGGGTTTTATGAAAATAAAGTTCCTGAGACTTCAATCGCTGTATAAAGTCCAGTTGAACAAGCATCGAGAGCTCTCTTCTGCTCCCAATGCTGTCTTTGGCTGTATAAACAGAAAACTTGGATACTGGTACAGTATTATAAAACCCATGTTTTCTTTTTTAACAAATTTCCACAAAAACTAGTTTTTTTTTTTTATAAGAGATGTTAAGATGGATAGAGAAATTTTGGCAATGTTTTTAAAATATTTTTATCATCGATTTCCACAGTACTGCTTCAAGGAGAAGCTTGATAAGGCTAAAGAAAGCACAAGCTTTCGTATTGCGGATTAAAGCAACTACAAGACATTACATGTAAGCATTCCCTTTTTTTTCAAAATATAACCTCAATTATCTCAAATCATTATGGTTTTATTTGTATTAGTGTTACTGATTTTTCTATGTTTATGTCTCTTCAGGGTGCAAAGAGAATCTCACGGGAAGAATTACGTTGCGAACCATACAAGTAATAAAACCAAAATATGACTGAAACTTCTGTAATTGATGAATCACACACGGAAAACTTATTATGTTTTGTCGTTTTTTGTAGGTTCTTTCAAGAACGAAACTAGTACTATCTTCAAAAGGCGTGAGTTACTCGAAGGAACAAGTAACTTAGCGGCGATGCCTGCGCCTGATGCTCCTTCTCCTTCTCCTGAGAGTATAACCAAAGTGTTTCCTCGAAGCAGCGGGTCTTTTCCCGCGTTAGCTAATGCAAAGAAGAGAAAACCTCCATTGATGATCTCTCCTTCTCCTCCTCCAACAGCTGAGAACAACAACAACACAAACTCTGATCCCCCAAGGAAATTTGAAGAAAAATCAAAAGGGTTTAAGGATGTTTGGTTGTATGTTGTTATCGGTGTTGCTGCTTTTGTAGCGATGCTGATTATAATAGCGGTTATATTCTTCTTCCGGAAAAGAGCTGTGAAGAGTATAGGTCCATGGAAAACTGGTTTGAGTGGACAGTTGCAAAAAGCTTTTGTTACTGGTAAAATTAAATAAAAAAATTGTTCTAACCAAATTGTTCTAAAAGGGCTCTGTTTTCGGTTTTAACATAAACTTGAAATGTTTTTTTCAGGTGTACCGAAGCTAAACCGGTCTGAATTAGAAACAGCTTGTGAAGATTTCAGTAATATCATTGAAGCATTTGATGGTTACACTGTCTATAAAGGAACTTTGTCAAGTGGTGTTGAGATTGCGGTTGCTTCAACGGCGATTTTGGAAACTAAAGAATGGTCAAGAGCTATGGAAATGACTTACCGCAGAAAGGTAACTCTTAAAAAAAACAAATTCTTTCGCTTTTTGTTTTGCGGAGAATTATGATTAAGTTTGGGAGAGCACATTTTGCAGATTGATACAATGTCAAGAGTCAACCATAAGAACTTTGTGAATCTAATTGGATACTGCGAAGAAGATGAACCATTTAATAGGATGATGGTTTTCGAATATGCTCCAAACGGAACTCTTTTCGAACATTTGCACGGTAATAAACATCTAAATCTGTTTTAATATCAAGATCTGTAATCTTATGATTATTATCATCGACCAAATCTTCATCTTCTTGTTCAGATAAGGAAATGGAGCATCTTGATTGGAGCGCGAGGATGAGGATAATTATGGGAACTGCTTATTGTCTGCAATATATGCACGAGCTTAATCCGCCGATCTCGCACTCTAAACTTGTCTCATCAGGAATCTACTTAACCGATGATTACGCAGCAAAGGTTCCTGCTTTCTTGCTTAACAAGAAAATTGTTTCAATGGTGCTTGATTTCTTGTTTCACAAGAAACTGTTTCCATGTTTCTTGCTTAACAAGATACTCTTTCCATGGTGTCATTGATTCATAATCAGCACACTAAAGGATTTTATTTTTGCAGGTTGGAGAGGTTCCTTTCAGCTCACAAACAGGGCTTAAAATGAAAAAACCGATGAGTGGTGATTTAGACCAATCTTTATTGCCACTACCACCTGAACCAGAGACTAATGTCTATAGCTTTGGAGTATTAATGCTTGAGATCATCTCTGGAAAACTGTCAGATTCAGAGGAAGAAGGATCAATTATTAAATGGGTAAAACTCGAAAATCAAAATCAAATCAGTTTTCTGATATTATTACATTACTAATGTAACACTTGAATGATTTCTCACAGGCATCAAAGTATCTGGAGAGTGATAATTTGGGAGATATGATTGATCCGACATTAAAAACGTTTAAAGAAGAGGACCTTGAAGTGGTCTGTGACGTGGCAAGACATTGTCTTAGAATTGACCAAAGTCAACGACCAACAATGAAAGATGTGGTTGAACAATTGAAAGAAGTAATCAACATTTCTCCAGAACAAGCTACACCGAGACTCTCTCCTCTTTGGTGGGCAGAGCTTGAGATCTTATCCTCTGAAGCTACTTAACCAGAAGAACGATTCTCTCTCCTCTCTCTCTCTCACTCCGAGTTGTGACACGTGTCGGAAGTTCACGCCCTCATTCTCTCTCTTTCTCTTCACGGTAAATGGCGTCGTTTAAATGTTAAAAAAGTTGTTCTTTTCTTTAATTCTTCATATTAAATTTGTTTCTCTGGTTGGTTTTGATAGTGTATTTGGATCCAGATAATATAACGATGATGTGCTTGTACAATTGTATACTGTATCATACATACATATGACGTATATTTGAACGTATTTTGTTGTGAAAAGTTGTTTGTAACTATTAACTTCGGCTTTTTAAACCATTATGTGATACTTTCTCATTTGTACGTAAAGTTTATTATTTTAATTTTTTTTGAAATTTTTCTCTTTTTCTCATTGCAACAAATGAGTTATTTTATTTTAAAAAGTAGTTTGTTCAATAACAGAAAAACACAAAGTTATCAAAAATTATAATAAAACTAGGTATTTATCCGTACTACGCTACGAGATTTTTCTAAATTTTATATATTTTAATATAATAAATAAATTTCTATTATCTTAAGTTATGTATTTATATGTTTTAAATATGAATAAGCATTGTATATTCTTTTTTACTTTTTTAAAATTGTAATTTGCTATCAAATTTGTTTAACTAACTATAAATATATATATAAAAATAAAATAATACATTTTTAAGTAGCTTCATACCAATGACAAATACAGTATAATCTATTTTCTATACTAAATTGCCACTTAATCCTCTCTTATAATTATACAAAGCAAAATATCATTATAAAAAAGATTTATAAATTAATATTTTTTTTAATTATAAAATTTATTTATTTATCAAATATGTATTATATATATATATATATTTCTAAAACTACCAAACTATAATCAATAACATTCATATCAAAACTATGGTTATTGCTTTATAACTAAATAAAAAATTCTGTTTGAACTGTTGAAATATCAATTTAGCATAAGTTAAAATAATTAAATTTTGTTTACTGTAAATATATGATAACTTGGAATTTTACCCCCTAACAAAACTTATTTCTCGTTAAAACAAAAAAATTATTTTTCTACGAAAACTGATAAATTGCCTATTCCTGCCAAAACCAAAAAATTTTATTTTTTCATCAAACCAAAAATTTCATTTTCCCACCAAAACCAAAAAATTACATTTTTCTGCAAAAACAAAAAAAATCATATTTTCCCATGAAATCATGTTCTCTCACTAAAAACAAATTTTTTTATCTCCATGCAGTAAGCAAAAAATATTTTCTCGTTAAAACTAAAAAATTTATTTTTTCGTAAAAACTGAGAAATCGCATATTCCCGCCAAAACAAAAAAAAAATTATTTTCTCGTCAAACCAAAATTAATGTTTTCCACCAAAACCGAAAAATTACATTTTCCCGCGAAAATAAAAAATTGCATTACCTCGCGAGAAATTGAGTTCTCCTGCAAAAACTAAAAAATCTCATTTTCCAACGAAAACTAAGAAATCCCATTATCTGTCAAAATTGAAAATTTGAATTTTCCATCGAAATCGAGAAATTGCTTAATCCCACCAAAACCGAGAAATTTATTTTTTCATCAAACCGAGGAATTGTATTTTCCGCCAAAATCGTCAGCTTGAATTTTCCCGAAAAGACTAAGAAATCGTATTTTCCGCGAAAACCAAAAATTCGTATTACACGTCAACTCAAATTTTTTATTTCCCATCAAAACCGAGAAATCGTATTTATCCGCCAAAATCGAAAAGTTGCATTTCCCATCAAGACCGAGAAATTGTATTTTTCCGTCAAAACCAAGATATTTTGTTTTCCCGTCAAAATCGAATTTTCTGTTTTTCCTCCAAATTCGAAAAATACAGTTTCCCGCCATATCCGAAATTTGCATTTTCCCGCCATAACTGATAAATTATGTTTTTCCACTAAAACTGAAAACTACATTTTCTTGCCAAAACCAAAAATATCTTATTCCCGTCAAAACCAAGAAATCTCTTATTCCTGTCAAAATCGAGAAAAACTATCGTGTTTTTCAAACAAAACTGAAAAGTTGTATTTTTCTGTCAAACTCGCCAAATTGCATTTTCTGCAAAAACCGTGAAATTATATTTTCCTGCAAAAACCAAGAAATCGCATTATCCATCAAAACAGGAAAATTATATTGCCCACCAAAACCGAGAATTCGCATATCCTATCAATAACCTAGATACTTTGTTTTCTGTCAAAACTGATGAATTTCCTTTTCGCGCCAAAATCGGAAAATCTCATTTTTCCGCCAAACCCGAGAATTTTCATTTCCCAAGAATTTTGCTTTCGTGTTCAAACCATGAAATTTTGCTTTCACATCAAAAGCCAAGAAACTGAGCAAAGACCAAGCCGAAAACAAATGTGATTTCTACGTTTCCGATGTCAATGATGCTGAGATTGAGGTTTTCACGAATGTCTAGGAGGAAGCCCGAGCTGCAAAGCTGCAAAAGTGGAGACAAATCAGCAGAATAAGTGAAACCATGAGAGATAGAAAGCTCTCATATGAGGCTTAGCGACAAAGAATCATCGAAAAGTTATTGATTTGTTCTTGGTAACCACCAGAAGTGCGAATCTCCTAGCTGTTGTAATTTGAGCTTCTCCTCCTTTGCTTTCGATCTTTATTTTTTGTAAACTTTGGGCTTTTTTGATGAGTTAGCAAAATAGTATACTGATTTTATTACTGTGTTGATGATATGTATTATTGTTATGTTTTTATTAATTCAATTTTTTGCTGATGTGTGAGCTTCTTAAGACATACAGCTTTTTGTTTTGTTGTCATGGAAACATAGTTGATGTTAGGCCTACATTTTCTTCAATCATACATGTCTGTTTAAAAAAAACAGGTAGCTATAAATTTTAATTTTTCTATTTGTTATTATTTATTGTTTGGGTTTGAAAAAAGATAAAAAATTTTTTTACTATTATTTATTATTTGGGCATGAGTTGGTAAAAATTAAATCAAATTTTTTTTTATTTGCTGTTATTTATTATTTGGGCTTGGATTTGGTAAAAAAATAAAGTTAAAATTAACAATAAAAAATATTTAGATTTTTAATGGGTTTAAATTTAAAATTAAAAATAAATAGATGACTTGTATTAATAAAATGTTTTGATTGATGATTTGTTTTGCTAAAATGTCATGTTTATAAAAAATATATACATATTAACACTTTTTTTAAACCCCTTTATAATCACTTGTAAAAATTGTTTGGAAGCATCTATGAAAATAATAAATCAATGGCATAAGCATATTTTTACAAGATATTCACTTCTTTCGATGATTCCAAATGTTTTTATTTTATAATTTATAGTGTTGGTTTAGTTAGGTTTATAAATAGGTATGTATATTTTATCTTTTAAACTTTTATAAATGAAATGAGTAATAAATAAAATGGGTGATGTGTATTAATGTTTTAATTTGATTGATAAATTTTTTTACTGAAGTATCATCTTCAGAAAGCTCCAAAATGCTGAGTTGTCTTCACCATGAGAGTTACTTGTGTTTTTGTTGTATTGATTGAAAATCAGGTTATTTAGTTATTTACAAAACAAATTATAACTAATTAAAAATGTAGATTTAAAGTAAAGGAAGAATCATTATAACACTTGTTAATTATATATGTTGTTAAAAAATATGTATGTCAATGAAAAGTTCTCTTAATAATTCATTTGGTTTTAAAATATTGATATTACTTCTTTAGAGCACCGATTTCTAATCCTTTCACGGGATAGGGAGACGAACTTCGACGTCATACCACCGGATCTGCAAATCAACGTCATAGTGTCGGCGACATGTATCTTGAATTGACATCAAAATATCCAATAATAATGGATGAAAAAAAATTATTAGATAGTTTTTTTTTGAGTAACTAAGATATTAGTCAATCAGATCATATGTTAAAAAGAATAAACAAACCTATTAGTCAGATCCTATATAATATATATATGTTCAATAACCTGAGCCTCTTCGGGCACAGATAGAAAACGACAAGCGTGACATACACGTACTCTTGTTTCAAGCACGATACACGAAAAAAGACTCGAGTGCACGTGTCAAAAATTCCCCATACGTGTCTAGATTCACTGCTATAAATAGAACCAATTATATCGTTCAAATCAAAACGATATTACTAATCTTTGGTTTTTCGTTTTTTTCCTTTAAAAAACTTTAGATTTCATTACACCTCTTCAAATTCTCTTCCATTATGCCACTTTGATTTGATGCATGTGAATAGTTTTCTTTATTATATGATACTTACTTATAGGCATCATAAATTTTGAGTGTTCTTACCATTTTTGTTTTTGAACTTTTTCTTACCATTTTTTCATGGTAAAAAACAAATTTAATTGGGTATGGTCGTTAAAATTCGTAAGTTAGTTACAACAGTTTTCTTAAGAGGACTCGTTTTACACTCTGATCCCAAAATTGAGAAATAAAGATAACAAGATTTTGCTTTTTTCTTTTAATTGATTAAAAACCATATACAAGAATACAAGATCACATATACATAACAAATAAATATGACTTCCAAAAAACAAGTATTTATTCCAGAATTTTGCATATATTTTTATGCAATCGTGTGTATTATAATAATACTCTCATAAGAAGTAATTGTTGGTAAATATTCTACAAATGTTTTAAATGAAAAAGATAGATATATGCAACATTTTTGCCTCTTTAAAGAGGTAAAGTTTTTTTGTTTTTTTCTTAACAAGGAGGTAAAGTTGCCACATGGAACATTTGACACCATTCTAAATTTTCTGATTCCTGCATGCTTTCTTCCGGCGTATGTATTAAATTTAGAACTTCGACGAACAATAACGTCTTGTTTTATCCTACTATATTTTTGTGTTAAAGGTTTTATCTTTAATATATTAAAATTCTTGGTTTTGTCGTTCTCGGGTCAATGTGAATTTATATATATCCTTTTTTGACAAATAGAGTGAGTGTGTCGGCTTCCGTTACTTAGATGAAAGGGTTTTCACTTTTCTTTTTTCCTGATAAAGAAGAAGAATATACAACCAAATTTACACAAAATATAATAGCAAAATAACTGTTTCCCCGTAACGACAATTCGCGTTCTCTATTAGTCCTACACGTAATGCATGCATGCATTAATTTTTTTCTGTCCCCGCAAAGCACGTATTACCCTACAACTTGCATTACTAATATTACTCATTAATAAAAAGGTGTCCACTTAACCTTTTTGTCCAAGTTCAGTTTCCACTTTCGAGTTGTCATTTATTTCCATTTATAAACTGATTAATTTTTTACTAGTTTTCCGGTTTATATGATTCACCTATCTTCTTCTGCTCCAATCTTATATAAGTTTTCGGGTTAATCTACATGTAAGTTTAACCGGATTTGACATTTGTCAATATTATTTAGAGATAATCATTAGTCAGAAAAAAAAGTAGAGGTGCATTTAACTTTATATAAACCCAACGAAATGGAAACAGAAACACTGAAAACGAAAACATATACACATCCAAAAAGAGTAACCAATAATATTATTACTTATATTGCCCCCCCAAAAAAAACAATATGGAGAACAAAGGTAAGAACATCGAACAAGCTCAAGAAAGTTGTTATCAACAGTGGATGAGTTTACAATCTCAACGCGTCCCTGAGATTAAACATGCCTTGGCACAACGACGATCTCACGAGGGCACCGCCGAGGCTGACTCTGATGATAAAAAACTCCGTGAATTGACACAAAAGATCATCGGAGATTTTAAAGATTACGCCGGAAAACGAGCTGATCTTTCTCGCCGATGTAGCTCGAGCTATTATGCCCCGTCGTGGAACACTCCTTTAGAGAACGCTCTGATTTGGATGGGTGGTTGTAGACCTTCTTCTTTCTTTAGGCTCGTTTATGCTTTGTGCGGGTCCCAAACTGAGATTCGTGTGACTCAGTTTCTCCGCAACGTCGACGGCTACGATTATTCAGGTCAGGGTTTGGACGTTTTCGGTTATTTCGGTTTTGAGAATCTTTGAATGAAACTAACAACTGAATTCTGAATTCTTCGGTTCGGTTTAGATTGGTTTGGTTAGGATCCGAATTCTGATATATTTTTATTGTTCCTTTTCAAAAATTCAGAACCGACTTGAGACTATTTTTTTCCGGTTTTAAATTTAACATATTTAGAAAATAAAAAGAAAAAATATTAATTCAACATAGTTAATTTTCTAACGAATATCGGTTTAATTAGTTTTGTTTTAGATTTATGGATACGATATAAAAATAGTAGGGTCTACTGGTTTAATATAATCCTGGTTCGGTTTAAATTTTAAGTTTTAGTTTTCGGTTCAGTTTGTTTGAGACAAAATGTAAAAGATTCCAAGGCTTTATATAAAATATCGGTTCGCTTATAATTTGAGAATTTGGTTCGGGTTTATAATTATATCTGGTTTGGTTTGTTTCTTTTTTGACATAAAATGATAAAACCGATAGATTTATACCTTTTGGTTTGGGCGGTAGGTTCGAGTTTAATTCCATTGGTTTGGTTCGACAGGTAGCGGTGGCGCATCTCTTAGCGATTTAACGGCGGAGCAACTAGCTAAGATCAACGTGTTGCATGTGAAAGTCATAGACGAAGAAGAGAAGATGACCAAGAAAGTCTCGAGCCTTCAAGAGGATGCGGCGGATATTCCCATAGCCACCGTGGCTTACGCGGAGGACCACGTCGGAGAGCCTAACATAGCAGTGGATCAAGCTCTCGAAAAGCAAGAAAAAGCTATGGCCACTTTATTGGCCGAGGCCGATAATCTGAGGGTAGATACTTTAGCCAAAATCATGGAGATTTTGTTGCCTGTACAAGCGGCAGATTTCTTGCTCGCGGGGAAAAAACTTCATCTTTCGATGCATGAGTGGGGAACAATGAGAGATCGCCGCCGACGTGAATGCATAATTGACGGCGAAGAAGATGTCGGAGGAGAGTAGTCGTTATAATAGTAGAGATGATATCATAGGTACGTACGTGTCAAATATGAAATTGCATAATAACAAGATTCATAATCTTGGTATTATAAAGTTTTTGTCATGCAGGCTTTAATATATATAGGGTATGATACAGTCTAGGGATATATAACCCTTATATATGTTAATTTTATTTCCCCAAAACTTGTTGAGTGTGAAATGTCCGTTTGGATTATATTAAAAATAGATATGTTATAAATATAATTTCCTTTCATATAAGATATCTGTTTGCTTCTCTTAGCGAAATTAATTAGATGATATTTGTTATTACTATAATATAATAGTTAATGCTTCGTTACAAAATTGTAGTCGTTTAAGAATAACATTTTTAATTTTATAAGTTGCGTTTATGATGTTCAAAGTATTTTAATAACTCGTTTAATAACTGAAAGGTTTATCTTTATTTTTCTTTTTAGAGTTTATCCACGTGGCCTTTACCAATCAAAAAGACAATAATATTCTTCGATGCATGTACAACTGTAGGTAATGGCACACAGCGACGACAAATAATTAGATAAATTGACATTGGTGTGTTTACGTGGCTGTAACATGGTCACGTCTCGACAAGTCAGCTATGATTTCATTTTATGTTTTAAGTAGTCAAAAATAAAATTGCTGGAGACCCCCACCATGTTAACTTTCATGTATTTTTCTCGAAACACACAGGATCCTTCAAATGAAATAAAAGCCTTCCGTTATTAGAAATGGATTTTTCGTTGAATGAATCCTGTTTTTACCAACACTAAAACTTACATGACGCTTATAGACGTTAGTCCAGCCAGAATTTTTTTGAAAATTGAACATGATTTCAAGTTTACAAACAATTCATAAGGGTCAACAACTCGAGTAAAATATATATCGAATAGAAACTCTATAAATTAATAATGTTAAAATTTTTATATTTTATTAATTTATAAAATTATTAATCAGTTTTAGATAAAATCAATTATTTATTAATAACTAATTAAAAATTATAATTTTTTAAAAATTATAATATTTATTAAAATTATTATTATAAAATTAAAGATAATAATAAAAATATTTTCATTTTAATATGAAAAACAATAATATATTTATATTTTAATAGATTATCATAATTATATTTTATATAATATTTATTAATTTATGATATTAATGAGATTATATTTTATATAAGTTTTAAAAAAATTATTATCTTATTAATTTATCAATTTGTATTAAATTTGAAATTTGTCTAATTTGAAATTAAGTAAAATTATTAATTTATCAAGTTTATTAATTTATCAAATATTAATTTATAAAGTTTCTATTGATTTATGTTAATAATATCAAAATTTTCATCAGAATTTAAAAGTTCGTATATTATCATTAAAAGTAAATAATTTTTTATATATAGTAATTAGGTTATCTATATATGGTGTTAGCAGTAAAAGATTAAATCGAACTCAAAACTTAAAACCATTAATCTTTGGTCGAGTGGTTGTGAATGATTTATTCTATAACTTCTGAGAGAAAATATGAATCATGTTTTTTCATTTTTAACTTTTAATCAGGAGCTTCAGTTCATATACCGATTTAAATTCAAATAGGAGGCAAGACAGCTTCTGACGTAGGAAAAATGGTGCGCTGCTGTGTGAAACCAAAAAAAAAAGAAAAATTCTCAATTCTGATCATAATCCTAATCTAAATCAGATCTGAGATTGTGGATATATACATAATTTGAGTTGGGCAAGCCATTATTCATAGCCACCATCTCAGTTCAAGCAATCAAAAATAGAATTCAGAAAAAAAAAAAAAGGGAATTATCAAAAGATCAAACAAAAATTATTATTTGAAGTTGTTGAGATTATAGTATTAGATTGGATTAGTAACAACCTAAGGAGGAAGTGATTTCAGGGCTAGGAATCAGTTTCTAAGAATCCAGAAATTGAACTCCGTATCCGGAATAATCAGAACTACCAGAGGAGAGAGAAAGAGAAGATGAAGAGGAAGAGGAAGAAGAAGAAAAGTCTAGTCTGAGAGGGTGTTTTACGGAGCGATTTACTGACGACTCAGAGAGATTCAGAAGACGATCTATATACCGTTAGAAAGGTCTCCCTCAGCTATTCAGATCTTCTTTCTGTTACCAATTTTGAGGTATATTCGATCCGGAAATCCAATCGCAAGTTGAGGCAAATTTACTGTCAGTTTTCCAGCTTTTTATTTCCAGTTGAATTAGTGGTTTTGAGTTGCAATTTCAGATCGGTTCTGAGCTAGGGAGGCAGGATTGTTTGTTGGTTTCTATTTGAGGACATTGCAGGGAAGCCATAGGAGTCGACGTCACCACCGGAAAAGGTAAACCCTAGCCACCACGCTGTTAGCTTATTGCCCAGGAAATCATGTGTCTGTCAAAAATCTGGGCAGAACAGAAACCCTAGATTTGTTTCTAATGGACATTTCTTGTTCTGCAAGTTTCAGTTTTAGATTGTCAAGATCAGCTTCAATCAATGCTTTTCTAGAAATCAGATATCTGCTAAGTCAGGTGAGGGTTGTGATTTGTGGAAACATAGTTACATTTCTTCCATCATTTACATGAGTCAATATGCATAAGCTTAGACCTGATTGTTAGAATAGGTTGTGTGGTGCTGTGTCTAGGAAAATAAAATGATGTGATATGATGATATGAGATAGATTATGTGATATATTATGAGATATATTATGAGTTAAGTTATGATATGATATGTTATGTATGGCTGACGAGCCCAAGATGGGAGTGTATGTGCCAAGGCCAGCCTCCACAGTATGGGGTTTTAAGTTTATCATAAGGATAGTGCCATCTACGCGATGTATAAACCTCCAGTGCATAGAAAGCTTGCTTCATTCGCAAGACTATTGAAATGTGTTATAGCTTGATTAATTAATCCGGCTATATGTTTGCTAGTGTTTAGAATTGTGTGTTTTGATGAGTGTCAAATATTCGTAGAAATGTTAGTTATGTTTCGGTGGGCAGAGATGATCATTGCTCACCCTTTCTTTTTCTTTTCTCCAGGTTAGGATGAAAATCTTGAGTAGCTGCTCAAGTCTGTTTTGTTTCTTGGTGTTATTTCGGGTTTTATTTCATTTTATTCAAAAGATAGTATTATTCTAAGTTTTAGTTCGTGGATTTTGTGAGATTTTAGTATGAGGATTTTTATGACTTTGACGGGATTTTATAAAAAAATATGTTAATGAGAATAGTTTCCGAAAATGATGGTTTAAAAAGCATGTTTTAAAAATAAAATATGAATGTGGTTATGAAATAAAGTAACAAGGTGTTAGTGTCTAATAAAAAAGGAGCCAATAGTAGTAATTTTCTTTTTAGTTAGCAAATAACAGATTATTTGATAAAAGGAGATCTAGATTTGCACCAAAAAAGGAGGTTTATAAAAAAAAGTTTTTTTTTAAATTGTGAATAACCTACTAAAATCTAAAAGTTTCATATTTCAATTATCTCTCACTTTTTCTGTCTTTTCAGTTTCTCAGTCTAACAAAATTCTGTTGAACTAAGCTTGAGAAAAGTTTGAGAGAGAAGAAGACTTCCTAATCCTACCGAGATATAGAACCTAAAGAGATTAGGTGTAGAGAATATTCATAGGAGTTATCTTATGAGATTCTCTAATAGGATTAGGATGTACTCGATTCTTATATAAGGAGATGTTGGTGTGTAGCATAACTTATGAGATTGAGAGTTTAAGGTTTTGAGCTATTTTCCTTAAGCTAATAAAGAGAGTTGTCTTTATCAATTTCGAGTTCATACTTTCTGGTTTGATACAACAATTAGTATCAGAGCATCAGTGTTCTGAAGAGTCCAAGTACGAACCATGGGAGATTTAATCGCTGCAAGAGCAGCAATGAGACCCAGGGAAGGAGGAGGATCGTCATCAATAACATGTCATATGTTAAATACAACTAACTACACTGTATGGGATATGAGAATGCGAATAACTCTCAAAGTCCATAAAGTATGGGAAGTTATAGAAACAGAAGATAATCCACCCGATGGAGATAAGAATAACATGGCCATCGCCCTACTATTTCAGTCAACACCCGAGACACTCGTTCTGCAGGTTGGCGAGCTTGATACTGCTAAGAAAGTGTGGGATGCGATTAAAGCAAGATATGTAGGTGCTGAAAGAGTTAAAGAAGCTCGACTTCAGACTTTAATGGCTGAATTTGATCGATTGAAGATGAATGATTCAGATAAAATCGATGACTTTGCTGGAAAGTTATCCGAGATATCATCAAAATCAGCCGCACTTGGATCAACTATTGAAGAATCAAAACTTGTCAAAAAGTTCTTAAAAAGTCTTCCATGGAAGAAATATATTCACATAGTTGCTTCACTTGAACAAGTACTGGATCTCAATACCACCAGCTTCGAGGATATCATCGGGAGACTTAAGGCATATGAAGAACGGATTTCTGAAGAAGACGACACTCAAGAAGACCAGAGCAAGCTCATGTACTTGGATGAGGAAACACAAAGTAGTCAGTCGAATCGTGACTACAACGGAGAGTACAGGGGTAGAGGTCGAGGAGGTCGAAACAGAGGAAGAGGTCGCGGACGTTCTAATGGAGGAAGAGACACATCGAAAGTGATGTGTTATCGCTGTGACAAATTAGGTCACTACGCTTCGGTATGTCCAGATAGACTGCTCAAGCTACAAGAAACACAAGAAGAGGAGAACGACAATACACAAGGAGCTGATGACCTCTTGATGCACGAAGTAGTGTACCTCAATGAAAAGAACTGCATTTCGAGCAAGTATGAAGAAAGCAGTAAAGAAGAGAGTGTGTGGTACCTTGACAATGGAGCTAGTAATCACATGACAGGAGATAGGAGATATTTCAACATGATAGACGATTCTGTTACCGGGAAAGTGAGATTCGGTGATGACTCGCACATAGATATAAAGGGAAAAAGCTTAATATCCTTTATTGATATGAACGGCAAGTCACGACCAATGTATGATGTTTACTTCATACCAGATCTGAGAAGCAACATCATCAGTCTCGGACAAGCTGAAGAATCTGGTTGCAATATAAGGATGAAATTCGGGTACCTGACAATGCACGATCCAGACGGAAAACTACTGGCTAAGGCGGAGCGAGCCAGAAACCGTCTCTACAAAGTACACATGG